TGTTTAAATAATGTCTCTACTTCTGCATTATTTAAAAAGCATGATATATGCGGAACCCAATGAAAAACATTCTTATGGCAAATATTGAAAAAAGAAAACAATTTTTCATAATAAAAATTTAATATTTATTAAAAAAGAAAATTTCTTTTCCATCTATTATAAGGAATTAAGTTTGTTGAAAAATTATTTATTAGTTAATTTGGTTAATTGTTTTTTACTATTAGTACCCAAACAATTATTTTGCGGAATGTGCATCGCTCTTTATTTTTCAAATTGTCTGATTTGTTTAGAAAGTTTCTACACTTCTTCAATATTTTGAAGGCATTTTTTTTTAAGAATCTATTTAAGAACAAATAAAAATAATCAATTTTTATTTAAAGAAAACAAGTTTTACCAAATCCATTATTTTTGGATGTTTAAAAGTTTTCTTTTTTAAAAAATATTTTTCCTCTTCTTATTTTAGAAGGCAATCATTTTGTTTGAAAATTATTTATTAGTTTATTTGGTTCATCATTTTTTATTATTAGTACCAAAATAATTATTTTGCGGAATCTGCATCGCTTTTTATTTTTCAAATTGTCTGATTTGTTTAAAAAGTTTCTGCACTTCTTCACTATTTTGAAGGCATTATTTTTTAAGAATCCATTTAAGAACAAATAATAATAATAAATTTTTATTTAAAGGTAACAAGTTTTACCAAATCCAATTTTTTAGATCTTTAAAAACTTTCTTTTTTTGAACATATTTTTCCTCTTCTTATTTTAGAAGGCAATAGTTTTGTTTGGAAATTATTTATCTATTATTTTGCTTTTTTGATATTGTTTTGCTCAAATAATTCATTTGAGGAGCTTGCTTTGCTCTTAATATTTGTAATTTTTATAATTTAATGAGGTTTCTTTCTTCTCCATCATTTTGAAGGCATGATGTATACGTAACCAAATTGGAAATATCTTTTTATAATAAATTTCTCAAAGAGAAGATAAGTTTTCCAAATTGAATTATTATAAATTTTGATATGTTTTAATTAAAAAAATATATCTCTGCTCCAGCTATTAAAGGGCATACATTTGGGATCATCCACAAAGCATGTGATAATTTTTTCGGAAAATTTGACACCCCCCTTGTGATATTTTTCCTATGCTTTTTCTATTTTTTTTAAACGTAGCGTGATATTTTGCTGACAACCCTCTAGGGGCCGTTCATTAATTACGAAAGGGTAATTTTAGCTTATTTTGAAAGGGATTTATTATTATTATTATTATTATTATTTTAAGGGATAATTTATAACTTACTACATGTAACTTTATTTTTATAATAAATTTTTCAAAAGAAAAATTAATTTTCATGCATTCCATTCTTGAAAATAAATTTTTGTAAGTTTCATAAAAAAAGGAGTTTTATTTTTTAGGAGGCATTTAATTTGGGTGAAAATTATTTGTTAGTTTTGTTCATTTTTTTGTGGTGCCTATAGAATGCTATTGCAGAACATGATTAAAAACTATTTTTTAAGCTTGTTCGAAACTCTGTTGAGGTAAAATTCTTAAAATAAATTGTTAAAAAGTAGGAAATGCGTTTTGCAGAGCCCAATTGTAAATTTTTTCATTTTGTATTTTTAAAATAATGATTCTTCTTCTATTAAACGGCATATAATAATTAGAGTAAAATGCATTTCCTTATAAATTTTTGTAATTTTTGTAATTATTAATTGTTGTAATTCATTATTATACAGAAAAGTTTTTTAATCTTATATTGTTTCTAAGACATGTTATTTACAAAATTTGCAGAAAACAAATTCTTGTAGCTACTTTTTTGAAAAAATGAAATCACTTTTGCAGAACTAATTTTTCTATTACATTTATGTTGATTTCGTAGAAAAAAATTTGTTCCTCTCCACCTAATTGGAGGCATAATACTACGGTAACAAGTATGTATCAATAAATTGTGTTTTTTTTTAATTTCAAAATAATAATGTTGTTAAATAAAATATTAAATTAATTACTTGTTTTACTCATAATTCTGCAAAATTTCTAATTTTTTTACAAAGGTTTCTTACTTCTCCATTATTTTATAGGTATAATTATTACTTAATTCTTTTTACTACAAATAATAATGCTAATGAACTTTGTTTAAAAAAAAATAGTTTTGCAGATCTAATTTTTATTTGCCTGTCTGTAAGTTTCCTATTAAAAAAAGGAATTTCCATCTCCATCTTTTCGAAGGTATTCAGCTAATAAATAAATTATTTATTTTTTAACTAAGTATTTTTTATTCAAAGTGCTAAATTAATTTTTTTGTGGAATCTTCTCATAACTTAATTTTTGTATTTGATTAATTCATTACAAAGGTATTTTACTTCTCCAGAATTTTAAAATCATAAGTTGTTCAAAGATCAAAAATAAATAATAAATTATTTTCCAATAGAAAATGAGTTTTGGAAAACCAAATAATCATATATTTTATTGATTTTTATTATTATTATTTATTATTTATTTAAAATTTAGTTTTAAAAAATGACTTCTCCATCTATTGGAAGGCATATATATTTAAGGTACAAAATACTTATTTACAAAATTTTCTAATTTTCGAAATTCAAATTTATCATTGACAGTTTTACGGAACCTATATAGCTCTTAATTTTTGAAAATATCAGATTTTTTACGTGATTCCTTCGTGATTTTGAGGACATAATTTGTGTAGAACGCATTTAAGATAAAACAATTATAATAAATTTTTCAATAATAGAAATTTTTAGAATTCTAAATTATTTTGAAGGCATAATATTTTAAGAATAAATTAGTTTTGCTGAACTATTTTTTTCAAATTATATAAATTTACAATTAAAATGAAATATTTTTCCTCTCCAACTATTTTTCATATTTTTCTTCTATCATTTCTGATAAAATTATTTATTTGGTAGTTTAAGTAATAATTGTTGCATTAATGTCAAAATAATTTTTTTTATGAACCTGTTTTAATTTTAATTCATCGATAGATGAATTGCAAAGGCATTTTACTTCTTCGAGATTTTGACGGCACAATTTGTGCAGAACGATTTTAAGATCAAACAATTATAATAAATTCTTCAAAAATAGAAATTGGGTGTTGTAGAACCCAATGGTCACATATTTTACTTGGTTGGTTTTTTTAATTTTCTTCTTTGTCTATTGGAAGACATATAATTATTGTAAAAAAAATACATTTATTAGATTTTTTAATTTTTTTAAGTATCAGATAAATCGTTTTGCACAACCAGTTTTGTTAGTAAATTTTTGCTAGTTTTTTTGAAACTTTAAAAACTTCCTCTCCAACTGTTTAGGAGGCATGAACTTGTTCTAAAAAGTATTTATCCATAAAGTTTTACAATTTTTTTTTATTTTAATTTACAATTATAATTATTGTAAAATGTATACATTTAATTAATTTTTAATTTTTTTGAAATATCAGATAAATCGTTTTGCACAACCGGTTTTGTTAATAAATTTTTGCTAGTTTTTTAGAAACTTTAGAAAAAAATATAGGTTTTCGAAAACTCTATTAGTTTTTATTCTTTAAACTATCTGACTATTTTGAAAAATTTATTTCTTCTGCCTTAATTGGTAGGTATAATTTTAAAGTAACATATTTAAGAACAAATAATAATAATAATAATAATAAAACTTTTTTATACATTACATTTGTGTGAGTAACTTATTAAATATAAAAGTTTTTCTTTCCAACTTTTAGAATTCATTTATTTTGTGAGAAAATTATCTATTTGTTAATAATTTAATTAATTAATTTTCTAGTAGTGTCAAAATAATTGTATTGGGCAACCTGCTTAGCTTTAAATTTTTTTAAATAATTGAATATAAGATATTTTACTTCTTCATGATTTTGAAGGCATAATTTGTGAGAAACCTAGTTTGAAAAATAATTTTTTGAATAAATGTTTTTTAAACTCGAAATGAGTCTTGTTCTACTAGCTTTTAAAAATTTTCATAGCTTTATGTACTTTTAAAAATAAAAAAATTCTCTTAGAAACATTTATTGCATTTTTTCAACATTTTTTAAATGGAATTTTTAATTTTTTTTTGTGGATAACATTTTGCATTTGTTTTTTAATATGTTTAAATTTTTTCGAATAAATTTTCTGATGAATATTGTGGATTATTTATGAAAAAAATGGTCTTTGGAATTCTAACCTGTTAATTTAAAATGAAAAAATTCTCAAAATCTCAAAATTATAATTTATTTTAAAATTTCTATTATTTTTTATTGGCAATTTTTTTTGAAATCCTGAATAATGAAGCTAATAAAATAAAAAAAATTAAATTTATTACAAAATAAAAGTTCGATTGAAAATAATGCCGGAAAAAATATTGACTTATATCAACAATGTCAATTACAAAGGGTAAAAAAATTTCACCGGTAATCGACAGATTTATAGTTTAAAACAAAGTGTTGTGTTAAATTATTGTAGTGAAATATACCTTTTTATCTGCTTCGAAGAACTTTTTGTACTTGGTTAACCTTTTTCAATTAAATCGATGTTCAATTTCTGGCTTATTACGTACAGTTTCGCCTTACACTTTGACTGATTTGAATTTTCTAATTGATTTATCTACCTGATTAATTATTTTTAAATTAATTTTAAGTTAAACTTGTTTTGATTAATAGTAATAAAGAATAATTTCTGAAATGTTTTTCTTTAAAAATTTAAAGTTTAATTTGAACATGACATAGATAAGTTTGGCTAATTTTAAAATAACCTATGAAATTTGTTTTTTAAATCAATATTATACATGTATATTAAAATACGTACCAACATATTGATTTTGCACAAAGGTTTGATTTTGAGGAAGGGTTTAAAAATAAGTCCACTTTGTATGTTTTTCTGTAGCATTATCCCTGGAGTCTTTATTTCTTGATGAAAATTTGCATTTATTATATATTAAGAAACAAATACTATAAATTATAGAAAAATAAAATTATAACATTGAAAAAACCTGAAAATAATTTAATTAATATTGCTTGTTGTAGTAATTTCTCATTTTGTGATTGTAAGATCGGGCAGTTGGTTTTCTCTGTCTTTTGAATGGTGCATCTGGAAAATTGTAAAATATTAAATAATAAACCTTTAACTTTTCTTTCGTGTTTTTTAACAATTAAAAACTGGGATTCGTGCTACTTGTGGAAATATTGGACCTTTTTCCACACAAGATTGAGAAAATAAAATTAATATACAAAATTATAACATAGGCAGTATAATTTAAAACTTTTGAAAGTTTTAAAAATGAATTAAAAATTTATAAAACTTACTGTTTTCATTTCCCCACTGCCGGTCAAACTGTGGAGCTTGAAATCCCCACTGCAAGTCAAACTGTGGACCTTGAAATCCATATTCTGGTGCTATGGTCCCTGAACCCTGAATTCCATATCCTGGTGGTCTGACAAACGGCTCTGTGACTAAAAAATAATTCCATTATTTTTTTTATTTAACTGATTATTTTAGAAGAATAATATTATTCAATTCTTTTACCGTTCGGTCTGTAGCTAGTAGATGCAAGGGGCACTAAAAATTAAAAATTTTTTTACTATATGAAATTAATATTAATTCAATGTTTAACGTAAATTTTTTGCATCAGATATATTAAGATATTTTAGAGACTTTAAAGCATCTATAAATCTCTAGAATATCCAAATTGTCCTGCTGTAATAAAAAAAAAATAATAATTTTATTAAACTTGCTAATCGGAGCTGTCCAATCTCCTGCTTGTTGTGGATGTGGAATTTGTGGATATGGGTGGAATCTGTAGTAGGGATGTGGCCCTAAAAATTAAATTTTTATTTAGTTTTTATTAGTATTTATATGTATAATAAAATATTTTAATTCTCTGCCTATAATTACGAATTGCCATGGATAAAATAATTATCTAATTATAATAAAATAGAAATGTTTATAGAATCTAGATTTTAAATATACATAAAATTCTATAATGAGTTATTGTGAAAACATTAATGTATAGACAAAAATAATTTCTTTATTTTACCTCGAAAATTCTGTCTATGTAGATCCTGTCTACTACCCATGTCAACAATATCCTCAGTTTGAGTCCCTTTATCTACTGTAATTAATAGACTTTCGGTTTGCGGTGCTTGATCCTTCATTTCTGAAATTTGATAATAATAATAATATATATCTTATTTATATTTAGAAAATATTTTCATTTTCTGTCCATAATTTCAAACTGACAAGAGTAGGAGAAAGTGAGGCAAAACATTAAATTTACCTAGTTCTTAATTTTGTAATTCCGAATTTGCAAAGAATCAGACAAACGTTCTGCTTGCAGAACAAAATGTACTCAAGTGTATTTTCTTTTACTTAGATAGATTTTTAAAAACTTTAATGAACATAATTTATAGAAATGTTTCACAGAAATATTTCATTTTGAATATTACCTTTACAGTTATTTCCATCATTTTCAACAATCAGCGATTCAGTTTGACTCATCTGATCAATCTTAATGATAAATTCACTTTTTGCTAAGTCTTCATGATTATTTTTTAGTATTTCATCATTCAGATCTAAAATTTATTTTCGTATTTTAAGAGATGCTTATATTCTTCTATTTACTAATTTTATTATAGATAATTTTTATTTTAATTATCTTACTATTTAACTGATTTTCATCCTTTTGTTGATGCATCTGCTTTGAAACCTGATTAAATTCTGTGCTAAGTAATTCACTAAGCAAATCTGAAATTTATTATTTTATATTTTTTGCTTTTTATTTCATAAAATTGTATATTTTTGTTTTTTTTTAATAAAAAAACATAATCTATAAGAAAGTGCTTTCTTACTCTCCATGCCTGCATCCGAGGAAAAGTTATACCCTTCGTCCAGAAGATCACTTGTGGCATTGGATTCTGGTGTAAATATTAAAACTGAAATAAATATAAATAAATAATTGATAATATTTAATATTTAATACAAGTTAGATTTATTTATATTTAAAAGAAGGACCTTATTTTGTTAAAATAAATTTAAAAAATAAATAAAATGAACTAAAGCTAAAGGGGATAGAAAATTGAGTAGCAATCGTGCTCCTCAATTTTAACCCTTAGGCTTTCTTCGGTCAGATGAGAACGTATTATGCCAACTACTTGATTAAATTATAAGCATTTATTAATATAGAAGTGACAAACCTTCCGTCAACTCTACATCAAGTTCTTGTTCATTTAATTCGTCCATACGTTTTTCACAAGACTCTACTCCGTTGTTGTCTTCAGATGTCAATTCAAAGTTAAACTTTCGAAGTTTGACCATCGGTGGTACTATTAATTTATACTTATGTTATTCATAAGAAATATTTTTAAAAAATATATTTTTTTCATATTAATACCGTAAAAAAGATCAAAGTCGGTTGTGTTGGTAAAAGTTGATATTTTTAAAATTAAGTTAATAAAAAAGGTCTTAAACGTCAGAATTTCATTAAATGTAAATAATTGTTTTGGAAAAAATTATCTAAATCACTCACGTTTTGTGTATTTAAAACTTTTCTTAACTTGATCGTGCATAAGTTTAAATGCTGCTTTTACGGTCAATCTGAAATAATATAATTAATAAGCAACTAATCATAAAATTTTTTATAATAAGTTATATTTAGTAAAATTGTTTACCTCGGAACGTTCTGTAATTTGTGAATAGTATCTTCAATTATTTTAGAAAATTCTGATATAACTTTTGTTTTTTGTCGCTCCGTCATCAAGTCGTTAAGAGTTTCTAAAAAAATTTTTGTGGAAAAATTAGTTTTATTAAAAAGTATATTATTTGATAACTATTTTGTTTAAAAAACTTGAATTAATTCTATGTGAGAAAATAAATTACCGATTAATTGTCCTGGAGACTTGCTCTTTTTTACTAAATCAAATTGTTTTCCAGCGATTTCAAAAATATTATTGTGTGTAACCACATTGTCAGAAACAATACATATTTCAGATCCAATTTTAGAAACTATTTTTATGACGTCGTTAGAGAATTTACTGTACGCATTCGATTTTTCGGTACAGCTAATAAACTCTCCTTGAGCATCAAAAAGATTTTGGGTTGGAACTAATGGAATGACATAACTTGCCGTTAAAATTTCATCAGAGTCCGAATTAAATTCATTCTCGATGAAAGTCTCTTTCATGATCTGAAAATATTATTTTTAAGTTGAAATTGACTTATGAGGAAAGTGATTAAATATTAACATTGACAGTAATATATTGTTTCATCATTGTTAAAGTATTAAATTTTTTAAAATTTTTATTTGTGATTTTTCGATTTATTTCAATGTTTTGTATCAAGTCAAGAATTATGTTTTCAAAAAATATTCCTAATTTCGTGTATGTGTGCGTTTCCCCATTATATATTTTTTTCAGTATTGCCCATTTTTGAGATATCTTTTTTTGTTAATATCTTTAAAAAAATGTAATTGACATAATTTATTTAGATAATTTTCTTCATTTATTTTACGGAGCTTCTCAAAAAGCATTGGTTATAATTTTTTAATTAATTTTTAAGATAAGTTTTCAGTTTTTTCAATGCTTTCAATAAATATCAATTGGCTTTTATCAGAACACTCAATAATCAGAAAACAATAAAAAATTAATAATTTTAAAAATAAGTTTTTACACATTATGAAATAGCAGATACCTGTCGAAAATGATACCATCCAGGCTTGTAAAAAACGTTTAACGACATTTCTTGGCAATTTCTTTTAAAGTCCAAATCGTGAGGGCCCACAATTGTCTTCACATTTTGCATAAATGGCATTGATAGAATTTCTTTCAATATTTCTCTTATAATAGCCGCACTCAGTGATATGATTACTGCACAAAATACTATGAAACCCTTGGAAATCGAAAAGAAAAATTTTTTGCTATTAAAAACAATTTTATTAATTTATGAAAATGTAAAATGAATAAAAAAATAAATTATGACATATTATATTTTTTTAATTTAAAAATTTAGTAGTAATGTAAAAATTGATTAAAAAACATACTTTTCCTGCATCTTCAATAATAAAGTTAATGAACTTTACGTCAAACTTTTCGAATTCCAACTGCAAAAAATAATATTTATTTAATAACAAGAGAAATCTTTATTACTAAGTTTTTTAGATGAATAGCAGAGAAAAACTTAATTACATATTTTTTTATACAAGAGACACTTAACGCACGTAAAGTTTATAGTTTATAATAGATTTTTTAAAAATTTGAGAAAAAATTTAAATTCAAAATTACTTGAAAAGAATCGTCGATGTATAAAGTTTCAACATCGCTTTTGATCGATGAAAGCTTTAAAATTTCGACTCCTGGAGCAATTGACTTGCAGTGTGTGTCCGAAGATTTCAGCGCTTGAAAGAATTGAGTGCTTGTTTTAACTGTCTCAAATTTTTCCATCCTAGCTTTCATCATTCGAGGCCTTAATCCATTGAAAGATAGGGTGACTTTTTCACTAAATTAACAATTTTAATAATAAGCACAAAGTCACATTTATCAATATTTTAATACACGTTTGACAAAACGTACATGAAATAAATTAAATCTCATGAAATCAGACCAACTTCAAACTTCACACTTTGGACATATATTTCACATTATAGCTTAATTCATCGATTATTATTAGTATTGAAATTTTTACCATTAAATTAAATGGAAATAACCAAAAAAAGTTATTTTTTATTATAATAATTTGTAAAAAACATTCATTCAGAGAAAAAATATTTTGTTTACGCAATGACGTTTTGTATTGAATAAAAGAATTATAAGGTGAAAAAATGCTTTACCTTTCGCAAACTTGATCGAAAATTGTTTTAAAACTCTCGCTTGATGTTTTGCATATTCGTAATATCTCTTCTTCTGCCTTCTTTTGAATCTCGTAGTCATTTTCAGGAGCATCGTGGTTATGTATTTCCTGTCCGCATTGCCATTTCCCATCTTCGAGATTTACTTTTGCCTTGCATTTTTTTCTTCTCATAGCACAATAAGCTGTAGATTTATTTGATGTCGACAAATAATATTTGAATTTATTCACTACGATAACACTAGAATTACTTAACTTTTCTTCCAATTCGGACATCCTTATACAAGCCGCAAATATAACGAGAAAAATGAAAATGATCTTTCGTTGACATCTACAAATATAAACTTAAAAAAAATGACAATCGTTAAAATCGCTGCAAGAAAAGCCGATCTACAAATTCAATACATTCATTTATTAAAATTTAAACTAAGTTAATAAAAACTCGGTAATAGAGCATATTTTAAAATTCAAAATAATCAATAAAATATTTTTATTTATATGTCGTCTTGTTAACCTTTTAGCCAGAAAAATAATACATTTTTGCCAAATATAAAGTTCATTTCCGATACAATCCAAACTATTTATTTAGGGTTATCAATGATTAGAAAGAAATAAAAAAAAGTGAATTTAGAAATCAAAAAAATCAAGAAAGAGTTAAATATAATTTAAAAAAATTGAAAATAATTTAAAATTTTTGAAAAAACTACAAAACTTTTTTTAACATTAAAATATAAATAAAATAAGTAAATAAAAACTTAAATTAATTTTTTATTGTAATCTTTTTATTGGTACAAACTGTTAAAGGCGATAATTTTCTCTGTCATTATAGAAAAAAATTAACTTATGTGGAAAGAGTTTTTTTCACTACACATAAAGTAAATAAACAAAAACATGAAATGCTTTTATTACATCAGAAGCAATTAATTTTGAAAAATTACAAATTTAATTATTTTTCTTATTTTTTATTTAAAAGGAAAACAATTATCACCATTAACACCTCTTGAAAAGTGTTCGTTGATTTTCCATTTATTTCAAATTTCTTCTTCAAAAATAATCAAACTCAAAAAATCTTGAAAATTTACGAAAGCACATAAATTCGTTGCACAAAATGCGGTTGCAAAAATTAAATTTAGGCCTTGCTACAGGTAGCCAAAAACTGTTGTAGATTACTACAAGAAAAATTATTTAATGTTTTTCTTTCTGAATATATAAACTAAGAAAAATTCTAGTTAAAATTAAATAATATATGTGGAGAAAGCTATGCCAGGAAAATAATAATTTTTCGACATAAATTTTTTATATAGAATTTTTTGTAAATTTTCTTAGAAAATATGTACAAACAAATAAGTGGAATTAAAAGAATCATTATACGTAAAACTGCAGGTGTTCTCTACGACATTTTAAAAATATTTATACCTATTTCTTTATAAATAAAAGCAAAAAAAAGTAGTTTAGGTTTTCTTTATGGATTGAATAATATAAAAAAAATTAGTGAGCATTATAAGTATTTTTTTTAAATCAATGCGTCAAAATAATTAAATTAGTAATAATAAATAATAATAAAAAAAATTTACATAGTATCAAAAAATTCAAAGATTATAATAAAAAAATTAATTAAACATAAATATTATTTTCAAAATATCTAAAAAAACATAACTAATACAAGGAATGAAAAGAATGGGCCCTTTTCTTAGAGAAAAAAAAATTAAACACTAAAATTAACAATTAATTGATGAATCCTTCATAATTCGACGTGTGAAACTCGGTACATTTAAAAAAATTGAAAAAGATTCAAGATTATTCATCACAATTAATAAATTCCCCTTTGTAACTTAGTATAAATAGTATTAGACGAACCCATTTCTTTGCAAATCTTCTCTAGCTTTAAAAATTGTAATGTCACGAGCTTTGTCCTTTTCCTGCATTAGCGTTCCAATAAACTTTCCTAAGTTCAGATCAACCAATCTCTTATACTCCACATCAAATGTTATTTTCATTCTAACTGTACATGTACAAGTAAATTAGTAAATTTGAAAATTCTATACTGACTGTTTGAAAAATATCTTAAATATTATTTTACGCTACATTGATAGTAAAATTTTAGTGGTGTTTTCAGACCATTTTTCAAGTAGGGCTTCTAATATTTTTCTCTAATGAAGTATTCATCGACATTACATTATAATTTCAAAATAGTTTTAACGATTGAGTAAGAATCAAAAGAGGGTTAGTCCTTTTTAAAAAAGAATAAAAAGGAAGATTGCGAGAATCACTCGAAAACTCAAAAGTATCGATTAACTCGAATGAGGAACCGTCTCTAATTGGTTAATTGGAAGTAGCACGCGAAAATTTAAAATTTAAGTATTTTAAAAAAATTAACAGAAAAAAAATACATTATAACATAGGTTAAAAAAAAGATTGCGCCGGGAAAAAAAGATTTCGCCGATAGGATTGCGCTGGAAAAACAAATTGCCCCGACAGGATTGCGCCGAGAAAAAAGATTGCGCCGGAAAAAATATTGTGCCAAAGGATTGCGCTGGGAAAAGACGATTACGCCGAAAGGATTGCAAAGGAAAAAAAAGATTGCGCCGATGGAATTACGCCCGAAAAAGATTGCGCCGAGAAAAAATTGGATTTATTAAAAACGTTAAGAACCGCGTTTATAATTTTTTAAAGCCGGTCACCCATCAAATTTAGGACTCATTTAGAGGTGACTTACCTTCTTCTTTCAAACAGAGGTTTAGCCATCCCGAAATGAGTCCAAAATTATATTTGTCACCCTTTAATTTATTAAAAATGTCGAGATCCGAGTTAATGATTTTCTATGTTTGCGTTTAAATTTGCAGTATTATTAATAAAATAATTAGGAAATAGCAATTATAAACGCAAGATTAAAAGGAAAATATTATAAATCGTAATCTTAAATAAAAAATGAAAAAGGATAATTTGAGTGAAAAAAAACAGAAGCAAAGAAGCCGGCCGCTTGCGGCTGGCGCTTGCGCTAGTTTTAATTAAACAAGAGTTCAAATTTTTAATAAGTATAATACAAAAAGACAAAATTATGCGTTTAGATATCTGGAAAAAACAAAAGTAAATATCTATGTTAGCTTTTAAATGAAAATATTTATTAGATATTTCATTGATGACTTAAAGTAATCTATTTAGAAAAAGTGAAATTTTCTCACCAACAAAATTCCATATTTGTGGATGACTGCCTCCTAATTTTGTTCTCAGCCTGCTGTTTAATGATTCACACAGATTGTTAGTTCTATGAGGCAAATGTCCAACGCACATGATTTCTCTCCTTTTTCCCCAATATTGCTTCAAATACTTAACGAATTTGTTGAGTTTTAAATGGTATATTCGATGATATTCTTTAACTTTGGCCTTAATTATTTCCAAACCATCAAAAAAGTGATCTGCCGGCGCCAAAGCAAGACAGCACGCAAAATTCAGCATTGAGGATGGTGCTTTCTTCAAACCCAATTTTTTCCAATATTTTTTTTTTGCCTTAATTTATATATTTAATAAAATAATGTAATAATAAATAAGCAACTCATATTAAAAGGTTTCCGAAAATGACTTTTGGAACTGAATTCTAAATATTTAAAAGTTACAATTTATCGAAGGATTTTTGAATTATTTGACGTGTTTTAAAAAATTGCTAAAGTTTTAAAGATAATTTTTGACAAAAAGGAAAAATTTCTAAAAAGTTTCAACCACTATTTTTATTTTTTAAATAATTCGTTAATTTAACAATAATTATTCTTTAAGTGTCAAGATTGCTTTTGAAAATTTAAGATGAATAAATATAATAGATGAATGTCCCATGTTTTTAATGAAACCAAGAGCAGCAAAAACTCTTAAGAAACAAAATTTAAAAAATTTAAGTGATTTTATTTAAAAAAGTGTTAACGAAAAATATTCCGCTATATTACATTCGCCATTTTTAATTTTTAAAATTTAAAACCAGATTCGTAATCAACAAACCCTGAAATTCCCGAGTTACGATTCTCAAGTGACTCCTATCAATTTTAAAAACATCGTCCACCATATTGGATGTACCATTTTTAATTTTTTAAAGATCTAATGCCAGATTCGCAATCAAATTATCTTACACCATCAAAAATTTTACCTTTTTAGAATGAAACCAACATCCATGAATTTTACAATTCGGGAATAATGCCTTAAGCGCGTTTTGTACGGCAGGTTCAAAATCTAACATGGCATCTTCAAGACCATCCCTTAATTTAGGGCACAATTCCTGAATTTTTAAGAAAACTTTCTTGTACAATGCCTTGGTGCGCCTTGTCATCAATAAAAACACTGCTCCAACACTCTATGAAAGAATGACACGAAATATATGTAATTAGATAACATTTACTTAAAGTTTCAATCAGATGGCACTATAAAATATTGCTATAATATAATCCTGTAAATTAAAAAATCAATTATTTTTAAATATTAAAAAAATAGACATTTCCGTTTAAAAATTTTAAAGAACATGAAACATAATCATCTTAAACATCATCCCTCTAAAAAATAATTTACTATTGAGATATACAAATTAATATTAGAACTACTTTGCAATAACTATTTTTCTATACATACCTTATCATTTATGCGCATAACAATCGTGTATAACTGACAGATTTTAGCAATTTTCGGACAAACCTAATTAAAAGTTTATAATAATTAAAATAATATATGTATATATTTCGTCAAATGAATATTTTTTCATTCTGTAATTATTTTATTTTATTTTATTGACTTTATAGTAATTGATTAACTAATCCCCCCTGATTTACCTCTTTTTAAAAAATTTTAAGAATCGTGAGTGAGACCCCCTTGGGATCTCAGAATTCGAATTTGATGTCGATTCTCAAATATATTTAAAAATAGAAAAAATGGAAAATTTCCATGTGGATTTCCATTTAAATTATTTTAAATCTCCATCTGGATTTCCACGTGGAAAATCCAGACGGATTTTTTCACAGTGTGGCGAGTGGACCGTGAAACCGGGAAATAACCGGAATTTTTAAAATTAACCCGAAAAAACCGGGTAATTTACCATTGAACCAAGAATTTTTTACCTACATATTAAACTGTTTAAAAAAATTTTTTCAATGAAGATTTCAATATGATTTATGAATAAAAATGTGACAGGGAAATTCAGAAAAATTGACTGGGAAAAACCGGGAATTTTAAATCATAAAAAAACTCGCTACCCTGTTTCAGTTGGGATATGGCAGACAAGGGCTACGTAATACGCAAATAGAACAATTTTTGAAAAATTATAAATTTTTACGCAAATCTTACCATCTGGGGTTACTATAAACAATAGTTTTCTGTAAAGTTCCTCACCCCATAAAAGGCGACATACATTAATGCTA